AAGCGCTTCCGGTGAGCTTTCTACCCGGAAAAGCTCACCGGAAGCGCTTTTTTACCAGCAACCAGCGGCCCGGTAAGGCTTGTTCCGCGGCCCGGTACCGGTCCGCGGACCGGCGGTTGGGGACCCCTGAGTTAGAGGTCCCCAACCCTCTGTCTGTGGCCCAGTGCTACACTGCAGCCAGTTCGGAACTGGGCCGCAGAAGTGGTGGGAGAGTATGCGTGCACGCGCACAAAGCTGCATTTGTGAAAGCAGCATGCATGCATACACAAACTTACCCCTTTCACAACCGCCACCTCCACTGGTCTGCTGAGCCGAAAAGCTTGGAGACCACTGGAATAAGTGATGTGAAACTTTGATAAGTGCCACATACAAAATACTTCCCACGTCAGGAGCCCTGATGCAGAATGCACATTGTGGGAGGCCTTTTTCTTTCCTGTTGTCCATGCTGTTACTGTTGTCTCAAGGATTGAGAAAATCGCAGGTCTTTTTCTGTGTATAGGAACATGGATAAAAAGGGGTCATTTGTCTATGCAGTGCCATCCTTCCCCAACCCCAACTGCCTGCTTTTTATGCAAATGAATAATTTTTGAGAACTATAAAAAGATACTTACTGGAGGAGCAACTTACAGTAATAGTTCTGTTTTGCATACTGTTTCTCTCCAACCTGATTTCTCTCTTAGTGGAGCCAGAGGTCATCAATGAAAAGGCCTCAATTACTCTCAGACTGGGTGTTATGTACTGTAAATTCTCTCCAGTTTTAGCCAAATGGAGAAGAATGCACATTTTGTATCTTTTTTTTCGAACAATGTTGTTTCTGGGCTAGTTAATTATATACAAGAAAAATAATAAAATTTTTTGTTCATTTCCATGACTTTCCTGGAAGAAGCAGGACTGAGGCTGACCTATAACATAAAATGATGAATTGTGTGACACAATGTGTACTGCAGCCTCTAAGTGGAAAGCTTATAGACCTGTGGCCTCTTACAAAACTTTTGGATTCAGTTCTAGTTTAATTTACTTTATTGTCTTTGCACCTTCTACAACAAAATTAAATACCATCTTCAGTGTATATTATGACTATGAAAATAAACACAAACACACATCCTTCACATTCTATACATTGAATTGAAAACCCCTGATATTGCATTAATATTGCACTATACAGCAGAATTCAAAAGAGCTACTGCCCTGGGATAGAAGCTGTTTTTCAGCCTATTTGTCCTTGTTTTTATTATTCTGTACTGTCTGCCAGATGGTAATAGTTTAAAAAAAAAGGTGCTCAGGAAGAGATGGATCTTTGAGAATGTTCTGAGCTTTCTTAAGGCAGTGGGAGCTATAAAGCTCTTCCAAAGAGAAGAGAGGGCAACCAATGATCCTCTGGGCAATGACATTAACCCTCTGGAGTGCTTTCCTATCTGCCACTGGGCAATTGGCAAACTATACAGAGGTGCAGTAAGTTAAGATACTCTCTATGGTGCAGCGGTAGGAGATCACCAGCAGTTTTTCATTCAGTTGTTTTCTGAGAAGTCTCAGGTAGTATAATCTCTGCTGGGCCCCTTTGACCAGTGCTGCAATGTGAGCACCCCAGGTGTGGTCCTCTTTTATGGTAACACCCAGAAACTTAAACTGGCCACTTGCTTCACTCGGTCTCCATTGATAAGTAAGGGCTGGATATCTGATCTGTTCCTTCTATAGTCCACTATAAGCTCCTTGGTCTTATTGGTGTTGAGGACCAAGTTATCACATCACAAAAGCAATCTCCACATCACAAAAGCAATCGGCCCACCTCATCTCAGTAGGCAGACTCATCCCCCCCCCCCCCCGGAGATAAGTCCCAGCACTACTTAATGACTATACCAGTGGTCCTTCATGATAGCTCCACTCTGGGGAGAAACCATTTCAAAATCTTTGGGGTTGGTTCACTTTATTTTGCAATCTTATTGTGCAGGTGAACATCTCTTTCAACACCTGGATGGCGGGTATTGTTTATCAGGAGGGCACACTTGGTGCTACACCAGGAGATGCACTAAAGCAGGGTGATGTCACGGCCCACTTCACCAACTCCCATTTGCAGTGGCTGTTGGAAGAACGTCAAGCAAAGGTTTCCATCTAGTGATGATTGTCAGGGCGATACAGGAAGTCCTCAACTTACGACCACAACTGAGCCCAAAATTTATGTTGTTAAAGTGAGAAATTTATTGAGTTTGCTCCATTTTACGACTTTTCTTGCCATGTTTGTTAAGTGAATCACTTAAGCAGTTCTTAAATGGGTAAAACAGTTGTTACGTGAATTTAGTTTCCCCCATTCACTTTGCTTAAATCACGTGACGATGGGGATGCTGCAACGATCGTGTGAAACAGGGTCATAAGTCGCTTTTTTTCAGTGCCGTTGCAACTTTGAACAGCCACTAAATGAACTTTTGTAAACCGAGGACTATAAATACTATCCATTCAATTTTCTGTGACCCTTTGGAACGGTTCTCTTCATGCCAGGATTGTAGGCATGGCTTCTCCCAAAATTGTAGACAGATGAAGGAATGGTCTTGATGGACAGAAGGAAGAGCCACTAGGAAGGCA